TTCAATTACAACTCTTTTAAAAATGAAATATAAAAGATGTCAGCGATGATGTAGAATCTCCTCATAATGTCTCTCCTCAAGGCATTACTTTAAAGCACCAGTTTCCTTCCTGGCACATGTGGAGTCAGCGTTTCCAGTGCAGACGGGCCGCAGGGGTCACAAATTTTAGGCTGCACGAGGACATATACAGAGATGCTGCATGGACAAAATTTACATCCAGACCCTAGCTGACACAGAAGACGTAAATAAGACTTTAAAATTAACACTTTGGTTGATGCGAGTTGAAGTTTTTTTTCCTTTTCGTACTGTGAAAAGCAGCGTATTTTATGTCTGCACCTGCCTGTGGGCCGGCACGATAAGAGTCGGCATAATAATATGTTAATTCTACTGCAGGAGAAAAACCTGATGTTCCCTGCAATTAGGTGGAAGAAATATGCGCATACATCGGCATCAGCAATCAGTCAAAATGAGTTGGGAAGTATCGGATAGCAGCAAAAATCGAATAGAGTCCCTATTACTGTGACTTCAGAGTTAAGGTAATGGTTGTCATGGGTGTACTCAAATGTATTCATACCCTCCCATTAAAGTGGGGTGTCACTGAAATAAGTTGAAATTGACTAAAGTAATAATAAATAAAAATTGAATGAAAATCATGACATTGCTTTGAATTGTGGTTCAACAGAAATATTATTTAAAAATGTAAAATTAAAAAAACAAGCATGATGGGGCCCGTAAACTAATATTTTGTTGAACAACCCTTTGAGCCAATCACTGCAATCAAGTGTTTTCTGTAACTCTCAATCAGACTTCTGCACCTGTTGACAGCTATTTTGATTTTGGCCACTGCTCATCAGCAAAGTGCTCTAATTTGTCCAGGACAGTTTGTTTTTTTAAATTATTCTTTTCAACCACAATTCAAAAGCAATGCCTTATTTCACTAAAGTATAATTTAGCAAATTTTTATCTATTATTATTTTTTTTAGTTTCTAGTTATTTAAGTGACTATTATGAATTTTGCCTTTTCTTTAATGGAAGGGTATGAATACATTTGTGGATGAATGTAGATGGGATCAGGGCCTACGGAATATACAACATCAAGAAGGGTCTATACAAATCTGAATGTGAGCGTGAGTTCCGTTTTGCGTTCACACTTGGCCAACGTGCGAATACTGAAAATAATTCCCAAAACAGGAAGAGAAACCTGAGCGATCACGAGATATGTAGTTTGAATAGCGAGGCTTTGAAACAACCAATGAACTATTCATCACGATAATCAGCTCATACTGTCGCCTTTTCAGCTCGAGGAGAGACAGCTCGGTGGCACAGAAGTGATAATGAGAGCTGAAACAGACAAAGCGCGCCGTAGCGATAGCTCGGCTCCTGCCAGGGAAACAATTAAGTTTTTTTTTGATCGAGAATCCGCAAGTTTTGATTTTGACTCTCTGTTCCGTTTGTTTAGGGAAGTGTTAATGACCGATCCTTGCTGCTGCACAGACTTTTTTTTCAATGGATGCAGATAAAAGACTCATCTATTTTTACCTCTACTGCTTATGTGCTGTGTTTTTCCTCACTCTGAAACACTATTGTTCCACACCAGTGTCCTATTTTTTCGTAGTTTTTTTGCCGCAGGGAAGCAGCGTTTGGTTCAAAGTCGCTCGGTAAACCATGCTGATTTTACTTTTTATTTCTTCCGCTTAATAGTTTGTCTTCCCAGGTGAGGAATCAGGTATATCACAGACTTAATATGCAGCGTGGTTTTGTTACTCACCGCGCAGCGTGATTGTAAATGGCACGAGGGCTGTCAGTTAACACACATCCCCAAGACATCCTGCTGAGCCCAAACACAAGTGTGCTTTCGGCTCTTCCTAGCATCGGCTATAATATAAATGGGTTTTAACCTCTTTCTACTGTTGCACTTTGTTCAGCTGTAAGCCGCTCTGGCTGACAGCATCAGTGGAACGGGCCTCAGAATGGCTCCTCGGGGGGAGCCTTTTCCAAACAGCTGTGTCAGATTCTCCACTTACAGGGATTTTGCTTGGGGGAGCAACAAGACAGTAAAAAGACTGAAACAGGTCACTGCTTCTAGTCGGCGACACACGAGTGTGGCTGTCTCTTTACTGCCACTGTAAGCCCTTGTCTGTAATTTCCCTCAAGGCGCGATGGGCAGAAATTGAGTTAGCCATTAGAAGTAAAAAAAAAAAAGATTAATCCATTGATAAATAACCTTGTTTCAAATTACCTTTTTAATTTAGCTTCATTCGGATCAAATGTGCCATCTCCCACCGGGGACGTCTGGGTCACAGGCAGAGTTTAAACACCTTCTACCCTCTCATTTACCACCAACTTCTAAAGCTCCACTGTTGCAGCCGCACAACTTTTTTTGCACAAGCTGCTCAGTCTCTGTAACAGAACTAAATCCTTTCGGTCTGTCCCATTTGCTGCTGCTGTCCTTGATAATCAATTCGCTGCAGAGTGGAAGTGTTCACACTTTAAGGAGGTATCATTTTACACATGAAGGTCAGTCCGCTCCCCACGGAGAGCACGATGACCCTGTGAAAACTGCTGTACGGGATCCTCACAGTGTCCTCTGTGGCACTGGGAAACTGTCTAAATGATGGTACCATGATTTAAACTTCATCTAATGCTTGACAGAAAAACTTCTATATACAGTAATAGTATCATAAATATTCATATTAAAACAGTTTACATTTAGCACATATGATGCATTGTAGGAAATGTAGGATCCTGTGGCTTTGATGCTGCCATTTTATCTCATGTGTGTCCCTCTTCCTCACAAAGACACAAGATTACATCTCTGCTGCACCCATTTAAGGGCATATTCTTTTATTTATTAACACTTTAATTACTTTGACTGTGGGTCATTCTGACATTTTGGCCACATTTCGGAATGTCACAATACCAGACGTAGCATTTTTATTCCACAGTTGTTGATACCAAAGCAAACACATCAATCGAATAAACGTATTTCAACATGAAGTACAACATTTTGAACAAACTGCTGCACGTACAGTACTGGAACACGTACACATATTTTGGCAAGTAGCAGTGGTATTCTACAGCACGAATGTGATGAGCAGCACCCAGCTTGGGTTATATCACTGCATTAGGCTCAACATGCTAATTTAAACCATTGTGAAAGCTCTACATGGGGCATTGCTACAACAGATCCAGCTACCATAGCTCAGAAACAGTAATGGAAAAAAATCCAGGATGTATCAGTTATATAAAATAGCAACTGACACTGTAGCACCTGCAGTACTTGTTTTCCTAGTATGGAGTAGTTCTAGTTGTGACATAGTGTGACTGACCAAATGTAGACTGTGGGTATAAGTCTGCCACAGGCTGAGCGTGTCACAGGGTATTCTCCTGCCTCTACATGTTACCGTTTCCAAAATCCTCTTCACTGGGGGAAACAACAACCTCCAAGTTGCAACCACCACAATGACAGAGGTAAGTTTTGACAAAGATTTGGATCAAGCAGTAAGACAGGTCTAGGGAGATCATTTCCTTCCAAAATGTAACAAACAAACAAAGCCTAGTTTGACCTGCTTTATGCTGCACGCAAAAACACAAAGAGCAATAACAAACTAATGCGTTTTGTTTCACAAATGCAAAATGTACACACATCCAACAAATACACATGTTTCTAATGCATCACTTCAAAAACAAAAAAATATCTCTCAATTTTTGGCTCAATTTGTCCTTAATGATTGTGCTGAACACTTTTCACATGAAGCCTGTGTAATTAACCACCACAACAGCATTATGAGTTAATATAAAGGTGTTGGTGCAATTCTCTAGGATTAGCTTAGCGTCGCCCAAGATGGTTGTAAATGGTTTAAAGGAACACAAACAAGCCAGAGTGGGGTTTTTTTGTTGTTGTTGTTGTTGTTGTTTGTTTGTTTTGCCCCAGCAGCACAGTTGTACTAAGGTGCAGCAAGACCACAGCACTGTGGAGAACGGTCTGGCTACGTTAGACTATGACACCTGTCGACTTTGTCTACTTCTGTTAAAGTAGGCTCCACAGTAAACTGTAAGTAACAAATACTCTAATCTACTGCAAGGGAACAGGAAGGTTTCTGGTTGGTTAACCAAATAACTGGCTAGTTTTGAACAGTTAGTTACAAAACCCACCCTGCTGGGAGAAAAAACATCATTTTGTAGGTGGGCAACTGGTAACCAGCACAGACCAGCATGCTTAACCCACTAGTGACCAGTTTACAGTGTGTTTCGGGACAATGTTTGCTGGTCATCAGCCTATTCTGGTCATTTTTCTTGTGTATGTTGTAGTATAATGCTGTGGAGACAGGGACTATTATGAGCCTTGTTTGACTTTTCCTGACCTGTCCATCCTTGTCAGTCTAACTGGCTGGTGGTCATCACACCATTTTTTTTTTTTTTTAGCTTTACCAGTTTCCAGCCCACTGGCCAATCACCTTCCCCAGCAGACCTCAGCTTAGGCCAGGGTCATCAGCCATCAAACCATACTGACAAACCAGCAGATCAGCCTGGTAAACCAACAACAATAACCATCCTAAGCTTGTATGCTGTTTTTTTTTCAGCGTGATACATCAGTGCTTTCTATCAGACACAAAGAAAGGTATTTACAGACAACAGTATTTCAGAAATCTTCAAGGTTCTTAAATGTCTCCAACATTGTTCTGCCAAAGGTGAATCACCTGAATTTTTGTCTAAAGGTCAGTCAAAGTTGCCACAATCACTACTATTCTGAAAGCCAGACAATGCTTAAAAAACACTGAAATCTACTGTCCAGCTAAAGGTTTCCTTTGGTAGGAACCATCAGATCACATGACAGTTGACAGCATATATAGGAGGTGAAAAGTTAGCCTTTGCAGCAACTCTGTGTCGGACAAACTACAAATTTGTGTGAAGCAGCTGTGACGATAACATCCAAACACCTTAGTTCCATACTGAACTATGGCACACTTTTGTTAGAGCATGTATGCATTAGTACCTACCCTGAAGTCGATGCCCACAGTGGAGATGAAGCTCCCGGCTAGAAAGGCTCCATCTTTGAAGCGAACCAGCAGGCAGGTCTTCCCCACACCCGAATCCCCCACCAGCATCACCTGAGACAGACAGAGAGTGGGAGAAAAGTCTATTGGTAGACGAAACTCAAAGCCTTTTGTTAGTCTGAGTGTGTGTGTGGGAAGATATTTGAGGTAGGAGAGGGGAAGAGTTCAGGTGAAAACTTATCTGCAAATACACAGGAGTTTAGGCGATGCACAAACACACATATATGCACACACACACACAAAACTCATATCTCCAGAGCAAACTGCATTTCTGCCCACCCAACTTACAGAGAACAGACAGTGCAGACCGATGGACAACCAGACTTTGTTCTTTCCGTTTCACCAGGCAACACCCGCCCATTCGTCCCAATTACCATATTTTGTGTAAGCGACAATATACTTCAATATAAACTTCACTCAGTTTTATTTGCTGTGATCAGAAGCTAGAAACTATTCAGCTGTTACCTCTGTGCGTATCGTGCAAAGTCAAAGTCAGGCAGGGACTTCGGGTGGTCTGCCATGTGAACAGCTGATAATGAGGGTGCAAAATTAATACCAGCTGCCACCCACATCATGAGAATTAAGATTTGCATATGCTCAGTGCAGATCATCATTAGTCCCTTTCATCCCCATTTCATTACTTTAATTATGCATGTCCCTTGTCAATGCAGTGCCATTATCACTTAGCTGATAAGAGGTATTCCAATGTGTTATTTTGTTAAAATGACAGTCCAAAATCCAAATACGTTCCATTTAGAACAAAAAAACAGCAAAATTTTGGCGAACTCATTCACAAAATCTGTCCTGGATTCGAGCTTTTTCACTATTTAACTAAAAACTCTTACAACACACGTGTTCATGACCTAAAAAAAAAAGGTTACGATTAATTTCAGCAATTTCAGAATTAAAGGATTACTCTGATTTGTTTTGTTTTTCGTAATTGCAATTTCAACGCTGTTAGCTCAGCATGCGCAATATTTTGTCAACTCCACTCCTGCTAAACAAAACGCCTCCTGCAGCGCTGCGGTTAATTGATCTTGTAAATAATACAAACCCCTCCCCGTCATCTCCACCATGTTATTGCACTGGACTGCAATTGTGCCGCACACCACTCAATGCTGGCCAATATTGTTTCCGAAGTTTTGAATGAATGGAGATGCGCTGGGTAGAATTTCATATATGTGAAAGGAGTTTGGGAGTTACATGTGATGAAACTGCAAACACGGGATGCAAACTGAGCAAAAACAAACCTTCCTTATGTATTCTGTGACTACGCCTCCTTCGGGAAATAATGTTGAAATTAATTCCTGCAAGTACTATATTACATTGTTTTCAATTTTAGCTCTTAAAAAAAAGTTTTTGGGGTCATGTGACAAAAGTGCGGGGGCCTACTTAACAAAGAAAATTATAAAAGCTGTCTGACATACCATTATGAAACCACTTACAGTCAGTGAAAATGATTAGATACCAACTCGGAAAGCGTAAATACAGATGGGTGACAAGTTATCGGAAAAACTGGAACACTTGCATCCCAGTGGGAGTGGTGTTTGTCAGGATCACAGTGTCACCATAGGACATAGGGGGTCAATGAATGGTTTGATGAAAATGATAGAAATCCTATTCAACGGGCTTCATAGTCACCAGATCTCAATTCAAATTGGACATCTGAGTCAGTGCTCTCCACAACCATCATCAAAACACCAAATGAGGTAACATCTTTGTATAGAATGTTGTTCATCCATCCAGTAGAGCTCCAGAGACTTGGAGAATCAATGCCAATGTGCACTGAAGTTGTTTTGGTGACTCAGCACCTTACTATGAGACTTTATGTTGTTTTTTTCCTTCAATTTGTCACCCATCTGTATGTACATCATTGTCTCATGAGGAAATTCTATTTGGACCTTTCATCAAGAGACAAAGAGACACAACACCAGCAGAGAGAAGACCTTACTGAGTAAACAACTGAAAGTAATACAGAAGTAAAATAAATACATATATTTAAAGTTTAAAATAAGGCAGTAAGTAGCTTGGGGTTTCATCCTGCAGCACAACCTGGAATTTCTGCTTCTTTTAGACTGATACAGTTCCTAAACCTACTCCATTTAGACAGCTGAACACTGTATGATCTACCTGATGTGACAGCTCATCCCACATATGGGATGGAACAAAGATAAAGAGGAAATAATGTTGAATCCGGCTTTGAAAGACGAAAACTATCATTTACCAAATAATTCTGAGACATGATGTCAAAATGTACAGCGCTTAACAAATTTATGAAACCACTCAGCTCTTGATGTTTCATACGGAAGAGGATTAGGGCCACTGAAGAAAAAAAAATAAAATTCTGAGAAAAAAAATCAGAATTCTGAGAAAAAAGTCAGAATTCTGACTTTTTCCCAGAACATTAAAAAAAAAAAAAATCCTGGAGATTTTTTTTTTCAATCTCTGAAAAAAGTCAGAATTCTGACTTTTTTTTCTCAGAATTCTGACTTTAATCTTTCTTCTCAGAATTTTTTTTTTTCTTCAGTGGCCCTAATCCTCTTCCGTAGTTTCACCATTTTGAACAGGAATGAGGAATTTGAAACTGAATTCACCTTTTTTTTTACCCAAATCTGAGCTGACTCAGTTAATCAAGCATAACATTCAACCACTAAAACAAATTTTTTTTGCTCAGGAATGCAAGTGAATAACTATAATTTGACATCTTAATCAAATAATAATAATTTGCTTTACCAGTATTTACATCTTTTAGTAAAGCAGTAAATTTGAAAATTCATGGATAACAATAATAATCATATTTTCGCATTAAAAATATCATTTTGATTCTAGAGCTTCTACATACTGGTGTGTTGACCACTACAGACACATAAAAATGATTTCTGTAATTACTAATGCTGTTAATTTAGTGCAGCTGTTGCATAAACATCACATTGGGTGGTGGTCTAATAAATTTCTAAAGCACTGTATCTGAGGAAGTGAAAATCTGAAATTAATCAGAAATAATAATAATAATCACCCAGCAGGTCACAGTTTTTAATAACTTCTTATTTAATTCTTTTTTATTTCTTGGCAGAAACTGGTGTCCATATGTTGCCACATCATATTCACCTAAAAACGCTCTCTAGGAAAGTTGGAAACAGACAGTTTTCAAACACTTAATCCCAGAAAATTCCAGTGCAAAACCCTCCTGATTTAATCATTTATACGATTAAGCTTGGCACACATCCACTCTGTTGGGTAGAAAATCTCACATCTCCACTGCACACCATTAAACTTCCAAGAAAGAAAGATGTGATCACCACCTATACTTTTTCTTTTTTAAAGTGTCCGTTTTAATAAAAAAATGAAATTGGCTGCTGCACATCTCGCACCTCATTCTCTCACTGATGCGCTTCTCTGAATACAAGCAGCAGTGGCTGAGCTCACCTTGAAGGCGATGTCATAAAACTCCCCGCTGTTGCTGATGGACGGTCTGCTGGGGTAAACCAGCCCGGAGGACGGAGCAGCAGCCGCGGCCAGACCCTTCCCCGTCCTCCCGCTGCTCGGAGACGCCTTGGGGCTCTTGGAGCTCCCTTTGCTTTTCACTGCCTTCTTCCTGGACATGGCTCCGATCACCTGTTCAGCTAACTAACACCGAAGATAGAGTGTGAAACAAACGAGATGTGTTTGCCTTCTTCAGTGTCAAAAAACACTTTTCCTTGTTGTGGTCGAGGCGCGTCGAGGACAGAGAAGTTCACCTGTGCGTCAAAATCATGACTGTGCGTAACGCGTAATTTGGTGAACAGCTTCGCGGGCTGAAAGTGTCTGTGAAGAGAAGCAGCTGTTGTCCCGGTAGTGCAGCTGGATGACTGTAAAGCTGAGGTCTGTTCACAGTGTAAACAGCACTCTCTCCCCGCCTCTTTCTCTCTCTGGTGCTGCGATGCTTGGAGCGGATGAAGGCAGGTTGTTACGGTGCGTTTAAAGGGAAGATCCACCTTAAAATCAAAAATGTCACAGTATAATGTTCAGATCATCAAATGCAGTCTCTCTGAAGTGAAAAATGTAGAGCTATCCACAGACTGCAGCTGACACAAAACGTTGCTGCCAGGCTTTCTAACAGAGAACCAAATTACACCAACAGATTTAGAATTCATTTGAGGGTTTTATTGCTTTTTTTTTTTTTTTACAGCCTTGAATATGTCTCTTGCCTATAAAAAGAATTCGCCCCTTTGGAAGTTTTTTAATCCTTTTATTGCTTTTTTAATATTAAATCCATTTAACTTGGCGTGTTTTGCAAGCATTTACGAAAAAGACTCTTTCATGTCAAAGTGAAAACAGATTTCTGTAAATTAGTGTCAATTAGGTAAAAAATGTCAAATGTAAGAATAAGTGATTGCATAAATGTCTCACCTATAAGGCCATGGCTCAGGTGGTGGAGCTGGTTGTGCTGAAGTGTCCTTGGGAAAAGATGATGAACCCCAAGTTGTTCGCCAAGGGGTTGAGCAGCTCTGCCGCCATCGGTTTGTAAGTTTGTGAAGGTCCAGTCACTGATGAATCACCATGATGACAAAACAACCCAACAGGCGACTCTGTGAACAGTTTTGTCTTTAAAGCATAAGTCAGGGGATGGGTACAACAACAAATAAACCAAGTCATTGTAACTGTCTGTTGTTGGGATACAGTTAAATCTGTCATATGGCACATGAGTAAATCCACCTGGAGCAAGTAGTCCTCAAAGATTAAGTGACTGTGCAAGAATAAGACTAGTGAGGGAGGCCACCAAGACATCTATGACTCCTGTACAGGATTTACAAGCTTCAGCAGCTGAGATGGCAGAGATTGTGCATAGAGCAACTGTTGCCCAGGTTCTTCACCAGTCAAAGTTTTATATGAGAGTGGCCAAGAGAAAGCCACTGTTGAAAATAACTAGCATTAAATCTTGGCTAGACTTCACCAGAAGGCATGCGGGAGGTTAAACTAGAAGATGTTCTTTGTTGTGAAGAGACCAAATTTGAGCTTTTTGGCCATCAGGCTAGACTATGTTTGGCTGACACCAAACACTGCATATCATTACAAACACATCATCCCCAAGCATGGTGGTGGCAGCACCATCATGTGAGGGGTGGTTTTTGCAGCAGGCCATGGGAGGTAAAAGTAGAGTGGAAAATCAATGCGGCAGAACAAGATTTCTTTTCGTGATCTGAGACATACAGCTGAAGCTATACAGACATGATTTAAGGACAACAAGGTGAATGTCTTGCAGTGGTTGAGTCCAGACCTCAATCCAGCTGAGAACTTGCGGTTCACTTATGATTCCTGTGCAGCCTGACAGTTTTGCAAAGAATAATAGGGTAAAAGACTGATTGAGGCCTATCCTATACTGTTCTTAGAAATCTGCTTTCCCTCTCTATGAAAAATCTTTTTTTTAATGGATTCTTAACGAAAGAGCCAAACGAAATTGACCGTGATTCAATGTTAAAAAGCAATTAAAGTAGAGAACTGTCAAGGGGGGTGAATACTTTTTTTTATAGGCATTGTATCTGCCGACTCCTGATGAGTCTAATTATTGTTCAAGAACCCCTGGAAGGGGACTCACTAATGGTTCATAATTCTTCTCTTGTAACTAAATGTGACCAGGCCATTATTATCCAGGTCCCTCAGTTGTGAGGAGAAGTCGATAATGTCTTTTAAATGTCTTCTGAAGACTTATTTGGCCTTCCTTTATGGGATGGTAATTACTGTATTTGACCTTTTATATATATTATCTTGTTTATAACTTAAGTTCTGGTTCTTATTCATTCTAATGTATGTTTTTATTGTAAAGCACTTTGTAACTTAGTTCTTGAGGTGCATTATATTGAAGTAAATTGGCAGTAACTTTTGTGACAAGTTCTGTTCTTTTATGTAGTCTCAGTACTTCAACCTTTTTGAATGCAGGGCTCAGAGATAAAAATCAATATACCATCACTATAGCAGCTCGATGACAAGCTTTCTGTCCCCTAATCCTCAGTCTATAGGGCAGCTCAGGATGGATCTGGACAGCCCTCGCCTGCCCTTTGCTGCTTTGCTGTTCATTGGAAGGAAACACTGAGTCCAGTTTATGGGTCTAATGCAACACCAGCGTTGCACAGTGCAGCGGACAGGAAATGTAAATTCTATTTTGAGGTGTATTTTTCTTCTAAAAGTGCAGCTTGGTATTGGCACTGATTCAGGCTTTGGATGTGTGTGTGACAGCTTGAAATAAGAAGCTTCGCTTTTCTCCACAGACTCTTTCAAATTCAAGGCTGTATCACTCTAATACTATTCAGACAGCTCCTTCTGAGTACGGAGCACAAGTCCAGCAGACGTTCAGCAGGCATGATGTAAAATGTGGGACTTCAGGTTGCCTGTATATGAGCGTTTGCTCTCACAGTGTTGCCAGCAGGTGCACGTTTCACATAAAGCATTGGTTCTGCTCAACCTTTGTGGCTACAGGTAATGTGACTGAGGCCTGGTGAAAGACTCACCAGTCGTCAGTGCTGGCTTACACTAAATTAAATTGTAGACTCCCAAGCATTTTTTGAGGGCTGTGTGAAAGTGTTAAACTGGGACAAGGTCGCATTGGCATCAAAATAAAAATTTAAAATTCAAGCAGTGTACACATTGCAGAAGTTTTGACAAACAGTGTGGAGCCTGGGAGGGAAAAAAAAGGGGACGCATCGGGCACAAACCACCAAAATAACCTAGAACATGTGTCAAACAAGCAACAATGTACCAATACAAATGGTCAGACAAACACCCCAAGCAGCCCTCGGGCAGAGATTTGTTATTGGGCCCCGGCTTTTAATTATTTCCCAAACCCAGAGTGCACTTGAGTTGAAAGGACTAATAATCCAAATTACAGAAAATTGAAGGGAAACAACTGTTAGCTAACAAGTTTGCTGTGTTTAAAGTTGTTGGAGCTGCCCCCCTCTTAGGCCTTGAATGCTGGTGTTATACTTTCCTTTTTCATGAGTATGCAAGAGTTACATGTGCAGTAGAACGGGGTCTGTGTATTCCACTAATGCACACTGCTGCCCCTTTAGTCTGGTGGCTGCATGGATCCAAATCTTGGGCAGCACCCAGAAGGCTACAGATGTACAGGTGCAGCAAGTATAAATCCAGTTATACTTTCTGTGTCCACTATGGTCCAAATGACACATCTCCCCGAGTCTGCGAGGATCCGCATGGCCCCTTCCTCACATGTCCATGAACAGCCTCACATCAACTATGCTACAAGGACAACAGCGTGCATGCTTGGAATACATAGATACGACCTGCTGCCCATGTGTGCAGTTGTATGTTTCAGGTAGACTGCTGCAGACTAGAAAAGTAGTATAGCAACAACAACGCATCCATGGATGTCCACGTCTGCACCAGAGTATAACAGAGGCGTAACACTGGCCCAGTACTTTCTTCATCTGCAAGTATGCTGCCCGGGTCCTCTAGGGTCCAGGTGACGTAAATTGTGTCATCTGCCCAAGTCTGCAAGCATCCATGTCGTTTCCTCCACAGAAGTGTAGCCCAAAATTTGCGTCCAAACATACAGTTGACATGGCCACTGTGCTGCCAGAGTTGTGCAAATCCCTGGTAGTTGTGTGTATGAGCTGAAAACATGGATGCTGATCTACTATGCATGTGTGTGACTACATGTCCCTACGTATCCACAAGGAAGGCTCAACATCAGCCTAAAGGTAATTCCACATTAATGTGTTTATAATAGTGACAGTAGAAAGTAAATTCATCATTTCAACCATCTAAATATGTGTTGCCACAGTCATGTATTTGGACTTTTTTCCCCCTTTTGTCTACAAAATGTACACATTCATGTCATCTGACAGGGCGAGTTCAAACTAAACATTCTGGTTTGACCCAGCAGCAAAATGACTGTCATGGTCATCAATTAATGAAAAAGTAGCCCCATTCGTTTATGTTTTCCCGATTGTATTTCCAATAGAATTCCCCACTAGTAGTTCATATTTGAATGACTGATTTGACTCTGCTCATTTAGACAGAACCCATACAGTTATTGCTATCTGTGTGTGTGCATAGTCTCTGCTCTCAGGGACAGCACTCTAACTACCAGGTTAAATAAATATAGGCGACCACGTGACTCGGTCCTTTATGCTCAGTCGCTCTCTATAGCTTTCAGCAAGCAATCACTTTGCTATGTTTACGGTGACGATGTACTCCATAAAGCATCTTATGTGACCGCGAACAAAGGAAGGATCCGTCCCCTTGCGCTGGTGACTCATTTGCTGGGACGTACACAATATGCGCTATTGACGCCGGTTTCTTTCAGAGAAGCTTTGCTGAGCATCTTGTTCTGCCACAGCCTACTTTACTTAGAAACTTTCACAGCTGACAGCTGCCCAGTAAACCCAACAGGCACTAGACAGCTCTATTTTAAATAATCTTACTACTGACGCATCTGATTCATTCACTTCTTCCAGACAGATTTTCCCAGCAGGGAGTCGAACCCACAACCCACATTCCTTTTGGTCGTACGCAGTCTTTGAGCGTCGCTGCCGCCTCCACTTTAATATTATATCAGAGGACAACTGGGAAAATGCCAAACCGGAGCTGTGGAGATGTATCAGACGCAC